CTCGACCAATGTGCATTCTTGCGGTCAGCCCAGAGGTCGTCCGCTTCCTTTGCGTTCCGCGCAAGCTCGAAGCCAGTTCCTCCGTGCTTCTCAACGATCTTCTTCACGATATTCGCAGTCTCCTGAATCGACGCTGGCGTGGGACCCTGGAACTTGAAAAAAAGACTGTCCTTTTCAGGCCACTTGCGTGCGGACATCCCATATTTGTTCGTGGCCGCCATGAAGACATCATCTACGAGCTCAACACATTCTGAAGACGTGGTTGCTCAGTAGGAGGTGATGGAAAGGAGCGTGCTGTAATCGAAGACGTACGGATGCCGACACCCTGGTTCATGACCTCGATTACGGCCTCCGTAGCCTTTCGAACGTCTGGAAATTGTACGACGGCGACGGTAGTGGGGAGAACGGGTGCCAGACGGATCGTCACTGGATTCAGACATGAACCCTGACCTTAGTATCTCCATCGCATTCTCGGATGTGCACGACTGACCTTCTGTGACGATTCCCAGAGTTCCTTCTGCCCCGATAAAGAGCTTCGTCGTGTCGAATCCCGCAGACGATTTTCTCGACCTCCTGCGAGTCTTGATCACTTCTCCCGAAGGAAGAACAACCGTCTAGTAGCATCAAATCAGGTTTTGCCTGCAGAGAATTCGTTACGCCTACTGCATTGAGGAACCATTCAGCCTTGGCCGTTCCGTAGCGCACTGCGTTCGCTGGAACAAAATTTTCAACAAGGCACCTTCGAACGTCTTGGGGTGAACCTACTTCCAGAGCATCCCGTGCTCAGCATACCGCCTACGGTCGCACCAGGTGCCGGATCGAGCTGTTGAAAAATTATATTTATGCCTGTCCTGTAGCGACAAAAAGCACTTGAGCATACCGGAAAGAACAACGGTATGCCTAAGTTGTCGTAGGTCAGATAAGAATTCCAAATGAAGTCATGATGGACATGCCTTTATCCTTTAGTGCTGCATTGATATCCATCCATTTCGCTCCAGGCTGGCATACGATATCCGAGTCGGCCTCTAGAGCCATCATTTAAAGACACACTCGCGAAAACATCTCTCTAGGAAACCGCACCGTGTATCTCCAGTATTCGGTCCATGTTGGATAGATCCACGCAGATTCCACCAACCGCATGCTGAACAGGTCCATCAGCCAACCGAGTTGAGCGGAGAGCATTGAAGTATCTTACGCTGCGTACATGGCCTTCCAAGCTCGTCCCACCAGAGAAAGGGACAATAGGCATCTTATACTTAGTAGCGATCTTAACCATGCGAGCGACATCCTCTGTAGAATTGGGGTAGAACACGACACTATGCAGCCGCCCTAGTAATCCGAACTATTTATACCGAACCGAATTTAGAATCAAAATGCGAGCCGTACTCACCTGGTCGATAGTCGTAATCAGAGAAGCCATGGATACGGAGGTCTTCAGCATCGGTCGAGACAGTGTCTGAGCCGGGGAATGCCTGCTTGAGGTCCTTGATAGCCTGTTGGAAGTCGTCCGGGGTACCGAATTGCTGCTCATGGGCGCTTCCGGGCTGCACGGACGTTGCGGCGCCCTTCCCAGCCCTGGCAACAGCGAAACCAACGATTCCGCTGAGGACGGAGGTCGCAATCAGGAGAGCATGAGAAAAGGGCTTCCCTGAGCCGTTGTCCGCGCGTGCTCCCTGACTAGTATTGTGTCCCGCTGAAGGAGAGGAATGTAGTTGCCTAGAAGCGTGAAACGTTGCAGTTCCAGAGGTAAAGCCTGGCGCCGCTAGTAAATCCTGACGTGGAGAAAGACGTCGTCCAAAGTTCCTGGGAATATGGCGGTGCCCATGCTTCATGCACGCTCTCAGCAGTGGGTTCATCGATAGGGTACGAAGGGAACCTCGATGCAAGCATTGGAAAGGTACAGCTTTCTTTTAGGGGGCTACGGCCCGATGCGAACCGCTCGGAAAGAATTTCCCCTTGATTTCGCCGATTTTTATGCTCGTCAATTGCGTCTTGCAACTAGGAGCCCGCGACTCGCGAGCCTGAGAGACGAATAATTCCAAAGCGGAACTTCAGTCAAGTGATACCAGCTTCATCATCCATGTTTATGGTCACTAGATCGCCGCGGCGTTATGGGAACCATACTTGGTATAGCTAGTATCGTTATAAGTAAGCTACTTACTCAAGAAGCACTGACGTATGCCATGTGAGCGTCACGAAGGGCCTCGAGACGATCGTGCCTCTGTCGTCGGACGACAGAGGCACGATCCTTTCTCGATGCACACATCTGTCATCGTCAAAATTGGCATGGCGCCCGCCGACAGACATCTAATAGTAAAGAAATTTCACGTTACCCACACTAATTGAAATTATTGTAGGGAACCTACTGATAAGTATACACTTTGGTGATGCATGTGGTCTACATAGAGCGGTGCAACGTCGGGGTATTGCACGCCGCATTGAAGTCATGCAAGACCTGCGATCGGAGCCGGAGGCGAGCAACAAACTGGACCAAACTTGAACGAAGTCCCGACTGCTAAATTTACGTATGGCCACA